AAACTATTAACTCGGGAATCACGGAAAGATATTCATCCTTCAATGTTTCGAATTCAGCTTTCATGCACTGGTGAGTTAAACTTTTAACTGTTTTCCAATGTTTGAACTATTTTTACATAGACTAAAGCACAAAGCAGTGAAAATCATTAATAGGCATTCGTTCGATGGGTTGAATTGCACAAAACGCAGGATGGCACCGGTCAGTCTGGTGCGCGTTGCTATTTATTTACGTAAGTAATGATGAGCTATCTCCTTTTCGCGGTATCTAAAGCTCAGGATGCACAAACCACCGTAGGTATTTAACTAGTTGGTCGGAATCGAAAAATGAAATAACTCTACGACGCGCCGCTGTCGATTTTTCCCAAAGGATTCCACGAAGGACCCAAAGTTATGGACAATTTTATTTGATCCATCGCAAGCAAATGCTTGAGAAAATAAGTTTCTGTAGACAAATAAAGCTTCAGCGCTCACTTTAAGTTTCAAATTTTCGACAACGTCGTGCACATCGCATGCTGCCTTCGCATCGCGAAATTCCTGAGCCTTCAAAAACTGTAATTTGTGTTGCAGCTCATGCAGTTGCTCCAGGAATTCTCGATCACCAACGTCGCGCTCAACAATTGCTCTGAAAAACTACCCCGCTACATTCGAGAGAAAAACAGTGGAAAAAGTAATAAAATCAATTTAAAAAGGCTGGCTGTAATGAGAAAAAGGAACAAATAAGCCCGAAATGCAATATTTATAGCTAAAGCGCCAAAAAATGAATGATCTGAGCGCTATTTTTAGGCGTGCAGTTCACGACTTAATATCGGTAATCAAAAGACCAATTCCTACTATTCAACATGTGCTTCTGGTAGTAGAACGATACTATGCGTGCCAGGAAGTTTGCTTCTCAGCAGGTTTATGCCGCTTTTCCCCGCAGATTTTTGTCGCTAACGGCACTGCTTTTTCGGCAGATGCTTCTAGCTAAAAGAATTTCAGATTGGACGCCAGGACTGTCAGGAAGCATCTCTTTAAAATTTCAGCTTTCTAGTTTTTCTGGTTCGCGAATTAGCAATAACTTTCACGGCCCATGTGTGGGAACCGCAAGAGCATTCATTTTGGAGATGAGGCCCGTACACGCGTGTAGATTAAGTCCCAGAGTTACGGCCTCGTAGCTTTTTTGGGTACAGACACACACCGACAACCCCTCGACAACATGAATTTTTGCACTACATGGATGCAAAAAATGCATAATTGTCATTTTCCGTGGAATGGATCATTCCCTGCGCGTGTAGATGAACCAAAAAAATTGAAGACGGATCGAACGTGAAAAACTAACTCACTGTATCATACTATTTGGAACGACCATATCATCCACAAATTGACTCAATTCTCCTCGTACTTGCTGTCGATTTTGCAACTGCTGGCTAATATCAATGGACTGTTGCTGCAGCCTCTTCATATCCGAACAAATGGTGCCCAACTCGGACTGGAATCCTTGTAGCATGTCTTCAAGTCTCTGGAAAAAAAACCAAATATTGACAAAAAAAGCATTCTCAAAGTGAAAAAACAGTGACTCGAATGACAAAGCTTTTAAAGCGGCCTTTTTTAATGTTGAAAACGTCACCTCTTCTGAGGTTTTAGCTAAAACTACTGCGAAAAAAATGCTGTAAAAAAAATGGGAAGAAAAAATAGTGAAAAAAACTCTTTTCACCAGAAAGTAATGTTCGGGATGTGCTAATTTTGAATAACTGACACGCGCGGCATCTATGCTATTCTGCTAAGTCATCTCCTCATCATAGCAAACAAGCAGCTTCGAATAACGTCGTGCCAAGGAACAGCGCGAGGTACTAAGCTGACACCTCGAAGCGTGTCGGAAAGATTTCGTGCTGCATTTTTATTCCTAGCAAAACTGAGGCAATACTGAAAACTGTAGCCATATTAGCGGATGTTAATGGAGTAATGGTAAAGCTTAGGCGATATGACATGGGAAGCTGTGCAGCAGGAAAAATAAGTAGCAACGCACACCAGACTAGCCGGTGCGATCATT